AGTCTTGTTTTCATGCAGAACTGAAACAGACTGGAATTTCATGGATCGGACCTTCCCTGTTGCCCAGCAGGTGGAGGGTGCCCACCCACAGCCCTGAAACATTAACGCAAAATTGCTTCCTTAATGTAAGTGCTAGGCTTAAGGATGACCCACAGTTTGCAAAAAGCATGTAGTATCATTGACTTAAGGCTTCCGAGCCCTTAGAAAGGTTTGGGGCTACTGGAAATATTTTTGAAGAACACCCATACCACCTCAAAACCTAACCCTTCGAAAATGAATGAATGTATGTATTTTGAAAAGGGAAGCAGGTTGGAGACTGAGGGTTGAAACCCTGAAGAAAAACCTAACTGCAATCAGACAAGAAAATTAATTATTTTAATTGGAATCTTAAATGGCTGAAATTGCTAGTTGAAACCATAGGAAACAGTTCCTGCTGACAAATGAGTAGGTGGAGTTCTCAAGACCTGGGGAAATGCTGTTGCTGTTTGGAGGGAGAGAGCTGGCTGCTGATCTGCTTTTGAGCTCCTGTTCCAGGAAGATTACAGGTAAAAATATTACATAGGTGAACATTTAGAATTGCTCAGAAATTGTTCTTACTGAAGTCCAAGCCACTCTATGAAAAATATGCCTACTACAAAACAGCTACAAATGAATCAGCAAACCTCTATCGATATCTGTGATGAAACATCGGTTGGATCATGAAACTTTGTTGGAAGAAGCCTTTTGCACATGGTCAGAGGCTCTCTCCTTTATTACTGATCAGCTCCAGCTGAAATTCCAGCACTGAAAGCAATCTCTAGAGACGGATCTGTATGAGTACTGGCTCAAATTCAGTTCTGCCATAACAGTGCTTTGGTGGCCAAGCAGCAATTTGAACTGAGGTCTCCAAAGATTAAGTCTGGCACTGATCCATTAAGGTAAAGGTAAAGGGACCCCTGACCATTAGGTCCAGTCATGGCCGACTTTGGGGTTGTGGCGCTCATCTCGCTTTATTGGCCAAGCGAGCTGGCGTACAGCTTCCAGGTCATGTGGCTAGCATGACTAAGCCGCTTCTGGCAAACCAGAGCAGCGCACGGAAACGCCATTTACCTTCCCGCCGGAGCGGTACCTATTTATCTACTTGCACTTTGATGTGCTTTCGAACTGCTAGGTTGGCAGGAGCAGGGACCGAGCAATGGGAGCTCACCCCATCGCGGGGATTCGAACCGCGGACCTTCTGATCGGCAAGTCCTGGGCTCTGTGGTTTAACCCACAGCGCCACCTGCGTCCCACCGATCCATTACACAGAGGGAAACCCAGATTTGTCACTGAGTACCTGCTTAATAGTTATGGTATACTCAGTTACATTCACCTTTTGCATTCTGAGGTGTGCACCTAAGATAATGTGTGATATAGCCCACCTGGGAGGCTAAGGCCAGAGTTAGCCAACATGCTGCCCTCCAGAAATTGTGGACTATTAGTCTCATCATCCCTGATCATTGGCCATACTGCCTGGGGCTGATGGAAGTTGTGGTCCAAAATATCTGGAGGGTATTTATTTGGCTACACTCCAGTTAAGGCCAACATTCAGACATGGCTGTATGTGGTCTCTTGGACGCCACCCAATAATATACTTTACTGTCTGAAATGGATCCCAAACCCAACCTACTCACCTACCCTCACATACTTTAAAAAGTCTTTCTGCCCTATTCAAACAGCAATTCCTATCTTCATCCCCCACCGCCCGCCGCATGGTGTCATCAGAAGTAGGCCCCTTCATGTTGCAGCATGGCAAGGCATGCAAATCTTAAGACGAAGGAATCCCTGGAGCAATTTGAAACATGGGAGTGGAAAAACAGCAGATTCATGCACAATCCTGGTTGGCACTGAAATTGAACGAGTTTTCCATTCTGATCTCCAGTGCAACATGTATAGGGTTTTCACTGGAGAAAAACCAAGGGATAAAAAAAGGATGCCGTGGTGTGCCCACAGAGAATCATGGGCGACAGCAGCTTCCGGTGTTTACCACACATTCAGGCTGTGTGTCACACCAGTCTTTTTTCCATTCGGACTCACTCTCGAAAGCAAAATGCTGAACAGCAGCATCTGTAAACACCTGACAAGGCTAACCAGACAAGCACTTGTAAGTATCCATTGAGGTGAAAGCAGCAAGGGAAATGAAAAGCACAACCAGGTGTGCGGGGAAAGATGAAGATTGAACTAATTATCCCAGCTGTTTATTTGTGGAGAGGAAAATCATTTTGGTAAACAAAAAGCCCAGACACCCTAAGCATCTGAATGCTGAGGAACTGCTCCATGGGAAACCCATTACTTATTAGGTGGCTGGTACCGCAGGAGGCTTTTAAGCCTGCTAAGTCAGCCAAAGGGTCCCTTAAAGAGAAAAGTGATGCTGACTCCATTAAAAAGCAGGATAAGGAAACCTTGCAAGTCCAAGTTCGCTCATAATACTGCTTAGAGACAACCGTCCTTGCTGTGTCCTTTTAAACATTTTTTAAATATATGACGACGGGGGAAATGTGTTATTCCAAAGCCATCTTTGACTTGGGCACAGGAAAAGCAAGTCTGTTGAATCAAAGACTGGGGAGTGCATGCTTTGAATATAGAAGGATGCAGGTGCACTCGTGGGCATCTCCAGTTTAAGAAGGAACAGGTAAAGACCCTGTACCTGAGTCCAGAGTTTTGGGTTAAGCAAACAAGTATTGTGATGACCAGGCAGCTTTCCACGGTCCTACGAAGAGGCTCAACTGCATGCCTATCCGCAAGGCTACTAGGGTGTGTGACTCCCCCACACCATCAAAATCACTATGCGACTATTCTAACACTCCCTTCCTTCCCTGCCCCTCCACCCCACCTCATCTCCCGGGCAGTCTATAGTATCTGTAAAATCAAATTACAAAGCATTTTCTTTGAATCACTTCAGGCTGCAGGAAGAGGGAACTGCTAGCTGAGTGCTTGTCTAAGTTCAGGGCACAAAAGAACTAGCCTCCAACTCATTTATTTATTTTTTAAGAAGAAAGCATTTCCCACTTGTGATTACACCACAACCTGTCCTGACTACATCCTTTCAAAGCTGCTGGAGGAAGAAATGAAAACCAGGGACTGGGGCTGCAAATACTCTGCCCTAAAAAATAATAATAGTAATAACCACATTCCCATACAAAGGATACCCAAGTTGTGCATCTGTGCATGGGATGAACTGGATCGTATTTGAAGCACAGGAACGCAGCATTTGATTTGAAAAAGTATTATATGTTTTGGACACAATCCAACCGAAGTTGAGCATTCTGAAGTCTCAATGATTTCGGCTGAAATGGACAACTCTTCTGCTGAAATCAATGGATCTTGTTAACTAGAACTTGCACACTGAAACTTCAGTATTTAGAAGGACCTCAGGAGCTCACTCCTTTGTGTGATGATCGGTTTCCATTATTTCTAAAGTGCAATAGTATTTTCCTCTGGCACATACAAACATATGGTTCATAATCTTTCATAGTCTACTGTGGGTGAGCCACACTTTCTTAGGGCTCTTTGGTCATTTTGTGATTAAGAAATGCTTAATTCAGTAATCTAATATATTAGATGGCCCTTTTTTGGCCCAATGGGCAATATTGATATCTTCCCTCACCATGTGGACCAACTTCAGCAGGTGGGCGGGGCCACCCACTTATCAATCATTTGATATCACGATGACATTAGGTGTCTCGTTCACCTGTCAAGTTGGCCTGCAACATGTGGGGAGGGGTCTGCTTTGCCTGCACATTCTCTGAGCTATTTTCAAACAAATGACCTCATGAGCTGATTTGGGCCAAGATTGAGCCACAGGCCAGAGGTTCTCTACTCCTGAGATACCTTATGCTAAATTGGAACAAGTAATCTTCATAAGACTGTAAATCTATCTTTATTTTTATTTTTTTGCAATAACCCACCAATTCCGTAATTGTTAATACTGTGCACAATTTATTGCAGAATTCAGTGCAAAGTTTATAATCATGGGATAAATAAGATTTCCAGGTTTGTGACCACTGTAAGAGTGCTTCTAGATGGGGGTTTAATATTGCTTATGGGTAATATCACAAATGGATAAGCAACATGAAATTATGAACTATTCCCTGGAAAGAGTAAATCCAGATTAAATGGGGGGTGGAATATAGGTTAGCATTTGATGACAGTGGCTTCATGTACATGCTGCACAGAACGTGCATGCATGAGGAGCACCAGATGCCACAATAAACAACCCAAAAACTTATCAAGCCACCTTTCTGGTTTCCGAGATTTTACCTGTCGTTGCCCATTTAACGTCAAAGCACGTCTGGCTCTATCAGAAGACAGAGTGAGGCGGCTGCTTCAGGCAGCTGATTTTGGGTGTCATGAAAGGGCAGCCAGTTGTTAGCTGTTTAATGTATTGTTATTGCAAAAATGTGGTGAGGTGCAAAGTATCTTGGGCATGCAATGTAAAAGGACCCTGTGTCAAATTATATTTCTTGTGGAGTTTTGCACCAACCGGAGCGCCTTTGTTTTTGATGAGTCCCTTTAAAAAGTGATCCATGGAATAAGAAGTATCCATCTATCACCATTGCTGACTGAAAACTGGAATTGTTAAATCTCATCTCATAATGGCTGAGGGTTACTAGGACAGGCTAGTTAAAAAGATCTGAGTGACTAACAGAGCAGACCTTGCACCAAGAGCTGCAGCAAAAGGGAGGGGAGAAAGGAGCATGATTACACTTAACAACACCAGCTGGTGAGTTTTATGAAGCAATGACTGACTGGCAAGAAGAAGAGCTGGGCTTTAGCCTGCAAAGCTTTTATGTTTATGTTTGATTGATGACGTACCAGTCTAGGGATTAGCTTCTTGCAGTTCAAAATCCTGAACTGCAATACTTTTAAACAATGCCAGCTTTGTTTCGTTCCTACTTGTGATTGACTGCTGTACGCTGAGAATGAAACTCAAGCTAGCATATAACTCGGCATGAACTAAATCTGCTCCATGTGGGAGAAAATAGATTGATTTAGTGTGCAGCACACTTCTCTCTCTCTCTCTCTCTCTCACACACACACACACACAGAGAGAGAGAGAGAGAGAGAGTGACGCATACAACTGACTAGGCAATTTGTTGTCCATGTTAGCTTTGGATTAGCTAAACTAAGCCTAAATATCTCTCTCTCTCTCTCTCTCTCTCTGTGTGTGTGTGTGTGTGTGTGTGTGGTGATGTTTTGGCATTTTGAAATGGGATGAGTAGGAGTCGGGACAGCTGGCGTCCGTTCTTAGCTCCACCCCTGAGTCACTGTGTGGTAATAGGCATGTTCGAGTCATATAAAAATTAGCAACGGCTATACTAATGAAATTGTATGCTTTGAAGATGAAATCTGGAGTAGAACTTTACATCTATCCTGGATTGTCATGGCAAGACTGCTAACTGGCCAGAATTTTACCTGCCTGGCCACAATTTCATCCTCCTGGCCAGAATAAGAGGGTGTAAAACCTAAAAGAAAAGATCCATCATTGGGTGGTTTTGTTATTTTCCTATTTTCCATAAGATATGTTTCCCTTCCCGCCAAAATAAATAAATAAATAGGCTCTTCAAAGGGACACTTTGCCATTACATTTTAAAAGCTGCTCCCCTAGGGGGAAACCGCACTTTGCAAAGCCTCAAATTGGATTAGACCTTAGATCCTTAACAAGCAAAATCAACTGCCTCACTCAGGAAAATGCATTCTGTGCATTCTCACAATCATTATGCCAGAGGTGCCAAAGAATTTTAGGAAGCCAGAAACTCTGGAACAAAATGCAGCAGCCTTGTAGGCAGGGCAGCAGAGAATGGGGGTGCACTTGTGGATTTGCATTTCATCATTACTCCCTCAAATAATGAACTTAGTGTCCCCATGCCAACAGGATCGAAGACAAACCAGCCACTGAGAAACAAGGAGGAGGCATCACTATGTCTGGGAATAGTAGAACCCCAGTCTACAAAATCACTAAAAAACCAAGAACAGACCCTTAAAAAAACCCAAACCCAATGGGGACAACCTCCCCGCCCCCCATGTCCCAAACAGCTCAATGGGGACTCAAAATGCCCATGGTTGCCAAGATCCGTGGAATGTTGTCTGCCAACTGGAAAAGGAAAAACAGAAAAGCAGGGTGGGAGGAGATGATAACCCGGCTTGCTTGAGCACCAAATAGCTTGAAGTATCCCAGAGGAAGAAATGGATGGCTGGCTCTGTAAACAGGAGCAGTGCTGTTAGGGGAAGTGATCCCATTTGTCCACTTATAGTTCTCTCTCCCTCCCCACCACCGCCCCAATACACAGTGTGTTCCAAGGGATATAGCACTCAAGAGATTTGACAACTTAAGGTATTTGGTCTCAACCAGAACTGTGGGCTTTTTACAGCTTCTTAAACTATCTCATTGTGCAATTTCAATTTACCAGCTCCGTGCAATGATGAATGAATTAAACCTTGCATAGCATTTTGCACTAAAAGCCCTATAGAAATGCTAACAGATATCTATAAATAACTTCTGTTTTGTGTGTTGAAGAAAGCAATTAAAGAAGGAGAAGAAGAAGAAGAAGAAGAAGAAGAAGAAGAAGAAGAAGAAGCAGCAGCAGCAGCAGCAGCAGCAGCAGCAGCAGCAGCAAAATCTTTAGTTCTGGGGGGCTGGGGTAGCAGGGGAAGAGTTTGAAGCAAAACTGGATAATCTCATTTCTGATTTCATAATCTCACTTCTTCCTACTATGGCTGAGAGGGGCATTTTCCACTGTATTCCAGAAAACAGCATCTGGGCAGCTTGTTTCCATCTCAGTGTGACTTCATTAGATTACTGAGATGTAACATGTCACTCACCAGCCCAATATATTTTGTCTAAAGCAGAGCCCAACTCCCACCACGGCCAACACTTTAAAGAGTCTTGTTGTACTATTCAGGCTTTCATTTCCTGCCCTTATCTATATGCTCCCTCAGGGTGCAACCCAAAGAATGGTGCTTCACCTGGGGCATGATAGGGCTGGTCCTGCCCTCCCTCCCACCCTTCTGAGGAGCAACAGCTTCAACTAGTACTACCCCGCTTGCTAAGCGCTCACTATAAACCAGTAAATGCACTTCATTAGAATGGATAGGTGGTTGGTCTGTGTACGTAGGGAGCATCACAAAGGACACTGCAATGTGTCAGCATATGCCTCTGCAGGACTGCTGAGTATTTGAGTGGACAGGCTTCGCCCTCATCACAACAGTACTCCCACTTTTAGATCACCCACTAAACTGGGCAGCCGCTATTCTTTTATATGGGAGAAGAGTGCATTAGGATAATTCCCAGCTCCAGTGACTGAGATCTGGGGCTCTCCTACTTGTTATGAACATCTGCCTGCAACAAGAGTCCACTCATGCACAGCCCTTAGCCTACAGCTTTTGGGAGGGTTGGAGAAGAGTTGGTGGAGGCTCTCTCCTAAGACAAGGTTTCCCAGAATATATCAGGCATCTCCTTGCACCATTAGCTTCAGGGATTTACTCCTGCTCGCTCTCTCCACTCAGTTTGTCCACGTTCTAGTTACTCACTGAAATAATAGGGAGAGTGATATAAATGGACCACATGGGTGGGGGCAGCAGAGAAACTAAGTCACTCAGTGGTTAAATGACTTTCACAAGAATATGCTGAAGGTCATTCTGTTCTCTCTTTTCCTGGCTGACCCTCCATCACTTTTTTACTTAGTGCTGTGCCTAATTCAATGTTTACGCTTTACCTTTTTATTGTATGTCAAGTATTTTTGATAATATTCTGTATAGAGTTAATAACAACAACAAAAGTGAGAGATTGATGCCGTAAATGAGAGACCTAGCCCTCAAATAGGATTACTATACATACACACACACACACACACACACACATCATTTCACTAAATTCAGCTGGGGGACTGAGATGCATAAAGAAACTCTTCGAAGGCCTGGCTCACACAAGCACATCTACATTCCTTGAATGCTTGTTTCTCATTACGGCTAAAGTAGGTTTCAGGACAGGGGTAGGCAACCTAAGGCACAGGGGCCGGATGCGGCCCAATCGCCTTCTCAATCCAGCCCGTGAATGGTCTGGGAATCAGTGTGTTTTTACATGGGAAGAATGTGTCCTTTTATTTAAAATACATCTCTGGGTTATTTGTGGGGCCTGCCTGGTGTTTTTACATGAGTAGAATGTGTGCTTTTATTTAAAATACATCTCTGGGTTATTTGTGGGACATGGGAATTCGTTCATTCCCTCCCCCAAAAAATATAGTCCAGCCCACCACATGGTCTGAGGGACGGAGGACCGGCCCACGGCTGAAAAAGGTTGCTGACCCCTGTTCTAGGGCATTGGTCTTCGAGTGGTGGGCTGGCTGGGACCCACTATGAAATCACTGCCGGATCCAATGTGGGTTGCAATAGCAGCACTTCTGCCCTATATGGCAAAAGAGAGAGAGAGAAAAGACATGGGTCCCCCAATGCATGTCTGGGTTAAAGGTAAGTCCCAGGTCCAAAAAGGTTGAAGACTACTTCTCAAGACTACAAAAAGTTCTCCCGCAATATAGCTGTTCATCTTTAACATGTTACACCAACACTTTTGGTGACTATGAACCATCACGTAGTGACTACTGGTCAAGTCTACAAACTGCCTCAGTTCGAAAGTATCATGATTGAGCCGACTTGGGCTGAGTAAACTCTGATGGCTTACCATGTGGTAATATGGTAAATGAATAAGCATGTATGAACTGGCTTTAGATTACAACCAGTAGAGAACTGAGAATTAGTAATTTCAGGCTACCAGAGGCTCACAGGAAAAGGGGGTAGGGCACTTGTTTTATGATAGTATATTGGGGGAAAGAAACAGAGAAAGCTGCCTTATAGCCTCAGATCTTAGCTCAGTGTTGTCTATGCTGCCCGAGCAAAGCCCTTCATTCAGACAGGTGCCTTCTCCAGCTAAGGATCTAATTGGAGACCTTTTGCATGAAAAGCATGTGCACGGTCACTGAGCTGTGGCCCTTCCCCTGGGGATGCCCCTTGTGACTAATCATGATCATAGCATGCTTAGTAGCACACCAGCTCAGCAATGTTATATTTATGTATACACCTCTTCATGCGTTCGGCAACGGTTATCAGCAAAAATGCTAGGGTTTCATTATATCATTCATTTGCTGCAAACCAGCTAGATCTCGCCGCAGGAAGCGAAACCAACTGAGAGGTTCTATTGTTTTCCCCCACAATGGCATTCCTTTGGGGGGTGGGGAGGACCTGAATGAAACCGAACCTCTATAAAAGTGTGTGCAACCTTGAGAATTCCAGTCCTGCCCCTTCCCTGCAAAGGTGCAAGAAAGCTTAAACGTCTGCCTTGAAGAATCACAACAGGATGGTAGCAAGTTTAAAGATCCTTGCTAAGTCCACATGATTTTGGCATGCCCGCCCACACTCCCCACCCATACTGGTGAGGTTCTCATGCAGATGGATATTTCGAACCTAGCACCCTGAAGGCAACATGATGCAAGAGGGAAGAAGTACAGGGAAATGAAACGTGTGCATAAACACCAAGCATATACAGGTATAACAGTAGCAGCATTTACATCTGACTTCCAATACTGTAGATTTACTGGGGACGCTTTTTAAAATTTTATTTTTTTACCACGCTCCTTTATAAAAGGCTACCGTACTTCCTGACTTGTATGCTAGTGGAAAAGCATTGCCGTTATGTGTTGCAACAGGAGGAAAGAGACAGAGAGGGCAATGGTTAAATTTGTGCTCAATCATGCCCACATGCAGATGCCCAGACTAGGCTATGCTGCTTTTAAAACAACAACAACAACATCAGCAGAACAGAACGCAATACGACAGTTTAAAGGCACTCCAAACAGCTCCTAAAGCAGGTGGCTGGAGCCAGCTGGATACAGTACTGTCTACGGTGACAAACCAAGTACACAGATGACAATGTTAAAAAAAAAATGCCATGCACACAAACAGAGAGAGAAATGTAATAATGAATATTTCATTGCAATATTTAGCCATGCATTTTAAAAAACATCACCTGAATCATGCAAGCCACCCACTCAGACACGCACTAAGGGAGAAGGGAAATGCAATCAGCATGTAGAGCATTTCTGTCTAGAAATTGCAAGGTAGATCTTTCCCCTTCAGCTCCACCACCACCCCATGTAACACAGGTAAATGGCCAAAGAGAAAAACACC